CGGGATATTTAAATCCCGGGCTTCATTTGCAACTTCGATTGACTACATTAACCACCCTAGTTTGAACTAGGGTGGTAGTGTAGACATACCCTAGAGGTGTTTAAGTCTTGGCTTGACAAAGCCCTGGGTGGGTTGATTTAGTTGGGATTGGTCTTGCCTAGAGCAGGGGGCTGGACTTGATGACCTTCTGAGGTCTCTTCCAGCTCTATGCTTCTATGATTCTAATTAAAACATAACCATCAACAGGAGATGAATGTTCATTTTTTTATTTCAAATCGATCAAGCTTGTATTTAGGGACAAAAGTAGTAGGGTACGTCTACATTTGCTCCCTATCTCGAGATAAGGATGCAAATGTAGCCAACCGAAATTGCGAACGAAGCGGGGATTTAAATATCCCACACTTCATTAGCATAATCTCACCCACATGCTATTCTGATCACCATCTTATTCGAACCAGGAAGTGTGCTCCAGGTCGAATCAAGGGGTTTACTTAGAACTAACGCGGCCCAGAGCACACTACCCGCAGTCTGGCATCAAAACGTGAACATTTACATTTTGTGTGTTTGAATAAGATTCTAAAATTCATTCAAAAGAAGGGCCTTGCTAGACTTCTAAAAGTTTCTCTTTTCAAGATAAGAAATGGATATTTTGTTCAGAGATCAATTTTCATGACATTTTGATTTTCTATATATTTTCAACATAAAAATCTTTAATACAGAAGTTTGAGGAAAACAAATTATGGGGGCTACAAAATAGTCCAGAAAAATAATTTTTACAACATTTATTGAGGAGAAGTTCACTATTTCCACATATCACCATGTAACCTCTTCTTACAAGATGGCCCTTGACTTTATTTATAAAAATAACAGTAGCTGACTACACTAACCCAAATAGCATGGGTTTCTACTGAAAAGTTTACATATCTTAAAAATAATTTACCTAGGGAGTATTATCATCACAATTTTAACATGAAGTGAAAAGATGAATTCAGCAGCCTATCAGGATAACCAGTGACCATTCTTTCATTTGGCTATAGTGTAAAGATTCCAAGTTTGGGGTCTGAGAAACACTATGGGGTTGCAGCATGCAGGATATAAAGCTAGCCTCAACAAGGACTACAAACTTAAGGAGTACTGAAAAAAATGTATAAAACCACATTTTAGCAAGTTTTTCTTGTGTCCTGATTTGATTTTAAGGATGCATTGAATTAGCTTGTCCCCCCAGATGCAGATATGAAACTACATGGGCTTTATTGTGCCATAATGTCACTTCTAGGAAGCACTGAATTGCTAGATCCTCCCTCCCCGCCCCAGATGCAATTATTGTCCCAAATGCTTAAGTGCTTTCGTGGATGCCCAAATAGGTGCAGCTCCTTGACACAGTAGAGTAATATCTGCTGGGTTTCTAATACATGCAACGGTGTATTAAGATTTTGTGGGGCCCCAGGCTTGATCAAGAGGGGTCCTCTCTGCCTCCCTTCTGCCTGCAGTCCCACCTTCCTTCCAACCCTTTCTCCTGTGACCTCATAAGATGATTGTGTTGAACAGAGAGCATTGTCTAAGTGTCAAATGGGGGAATAGATCCTTCATTTACTACATTTGGAATATAAAAGTTTACTCACTGAGGTACTTGGCATTCTGAGTCTTGAAGTACTACCATTATGATGTAATTATCTGTATTTTATATTGTTAATAGCTAGTAGAACTTTTATCTACTTAATGAATTACTTTTTTAGTACTTACATGAAACGTGATTATACCTAGGTTGATTTATTGTTTCTCCAAGACCTGATGACTGTAAATAACCATGCTGCAATTTGCTGACCAATCACATCCTGATAAAATGTATGTGGAAATATTGTATGTGAAATTATAAGATTAACATACATTCTAAACTGAGGTTAGCACACAGGTCTGTCTTAAAGGAATGTGTGTTCTGCTTAATTTGGATTTAAGCAATAAACAGTCATCAAGCAGGAAGGGAAACAAAGAAGAAGGCTGGGCAGCACAGGTCATATAATTCTGGAGGAAAATCAAAGGCTGGGAATGTGTTGGGGTCATCCTATTGTATAATCAAAATTCATGAGAGCTAGAGTATAATTTAGATGTGGCTGGCGGGTTGCAGTTACACACAAACACTCAAGGTATTCTAAGTACAGTTCTGCTGTCCTTTACTAATACAATCAAGATAACAACATTATATTACTCAATAAAGAAATAATTTGTAAGAAAGGCTTGGGCCGGCCCAGATTACTTGGCAGGTGCACATACAAATTATTTCTTTATTGAGTAATATAATTTTTAACACCAACCCAAATGATCATTTTGGCAGAGCAATTCTCTCTGTTGAACACCTAAGCAGAGTAATATGTTTATGGCAATATAATCTGCTCCTGAAATCTCCCCCAACTCCCAGCCCATCACAAGTTTCAGAGGAGAGCTCATTAAGCCACAAAAAACAGCTGTCATCCGTCTTCTGCCCCTCAGAAACCCAGCTTTTTCTTGATATATCTGCCATTAGTTGTTTCTTTTAAGATAACATTTTCACATAAGTTTCCAAGAGGTGAATAATTCCTCTTTTGACTAATGCACTACAATGTTCTCTTTATATAATAATATTTGTATTGGTAAATATATTCCTAAATTTGCTTATTAAGATCAAAAGACCCTCATGTACAAAAAATACATGCAAATATTACATATTGAGCAAAGGCCATCATTACAATGCTATTATAATCTTTCTGCTGGCACATGGCAGCTGGGGAAGGCTGTGGGAAGGGGAAATGACAATGGCAAAAATGCCTACAGATTATCTATACCAATTAGTATGGGTGAAACTGCAATAGTAATAGTAAAATGGAGGATGATTTCCTGAAAAATGTTATTAACATAAAATTGTGTTTCATCCTACTTCAGAAATGAACCACCAAATTGTGTACAAGAAAGCCTTGCCATTTGCGGTAGCTGCATGCTCCCACGGCAAGCTACTTGCACCTCCCACAGGGCAGGGAGGCCAGAAGTCACAGGTACCTCACCGTAAGGGCCATAAACCGCTCCTGGCCCCTTTCTACTCCCCCTCCTGGCCGGGACAGGAGATTTATGAATATGTGGAACCATGAATAGTGGTTCCAGGATGCACAAGAGGCTCCCATATTGCAGGTTTTGTCACTCTCATGTGCAGGTTGAGAGTTACAGTACTTTCACCAGGTTCAGTAAAATGTTCGTAAGTGCCTAAGTAACTAAGGAACCTAATTCCCATTTTCAATAAAAATGAATGGTGCTCAAGTCACTTTTGGAAATAAAATTTAGGTACTTATCTTACGTTTACCTGAGATGATTAACATAAACCATATTCTGAGATGAGTGATAGAAACTGATTAATAGATGGAATTAACAGGTGCAATATTATCATTTAACATCCTTGAGCAGTATATAGTTCAAAAAAAAAAAAAAGCTCACAAAAAAAGATGAACGATACTATCACAGGCTTTAGGGAGTAGCCAAGTTAGTCTGTACAAGATAAACTTAAAAAACAACAAATGGTCTGGTAGCACTTTATAGACTAACAAAACATATAGATGGTATCACGAGCTTTTGTGGGCATGGCCCATTTCTTCAGATGACCAGAAGTGGGCTGTGGCCACGAAAGCTCATGATACCATCTATATGTTTTGTTAGTCTATAAAGTGCTACCAGACCATTTGTTGTTTTTAAGTTGATACTATCACAGAGTGAGTTAGACCTGGAAGAGCAGAAATAGGCAACCTAGGCTAGAGAATGGGCTGCATGAGTGGCCCTCCATCTCAGCGGACTGCAAGATTGTTGTAATCAAGATGGTCTCCTGTGATAGGGTAGTTTTGATAACTGCACTTGTGAACCTAGAATTTTCAGGGTTTGCTGACTGAACCAATGCAGCACTTTGATTGGATGCAGAGGGAACACATGGTTCTCACAGTCAATGTTGTGTAGAATGAACACGTACTTCATTTCACATGCCCTTGTTTTACATGCTTGTCATTTTAGTAATACTGGTATGGAAAAAAACTAAGCAGATGGAAACCCACAGAATCTGGCAACCCTGCATGGGCTACAAAACATCTCACAGGCCACACATAGAAGTCCAGTGGGCTGCAGGTTGTCCACCACTGTGGTAGAAGTTAAAGCTCAGTACGTAGCCTGCATGTAAGTAACCAAGAATCATATAATGGCAACCTGGGAAGCTGATCCTTTATAGAGTCATAGATTTTAAGGCCAGAAGGAACCTTTACAATCATTTAGCCTGAACCCTTAAACTGCATTCCCAGGCTGCTATCACGTAACCCAGCGTTTCTTAAACGGTGTTCCATGGCACACCGGTTTGCTGCAAGGCAGTCAGAGGTGTGCCACGGAGAACAATAGAATTCAAAATGGCCGCCCTTAAATGGGCAGGTGACTCTCTTTTGGCTCAATAATTTTCCCCTAGCGCTTTCTTTCTCCATAACTTTACCACCACCTTTTTTTCCCCCCCTCAACAAAAAAAATCTTTGGTGTTCCCCATAAAAACAAATTATTGTTTAGTGTTCCTCAGTCTTAAAAAGCTAAGAAACACTGAAGTAACCCTTGGCAGGGCAGAATTTTGTTTTATAGCAATACAAAAATGTAAATGGAATATTGATTAATAAATACCCACTTTCTTCTGGTCTCCCTTCAATGTTTCCACCACCATCTCTCCTACATTCTTAAGCATAATGGCCATGATCAGCTATGATCAAACAATCTTATAAGCCAGTGGTCCCCAACGTGGTGCCCACGGGCGCCATGGCGCCCGCCGGGACATTTATGTGCACCTGCCGAGTGATCAGGCCCGGCCGAAGCCATTCATATGCCCCGGGCGTGCAGCGCACATGCGGCTCCTGCCCCAGACACGGCGCATGAGCGGCCCTGCTCCCAGATGCCCGGCAGCCCCAGAAACTTGGGGACCACTGCTATAGGCAAAGGAAAATATGTCCAAACTATGCAGCTCATGAAGGAATAACCTGAACAGAAATTCAAAAACTGTTGAGCATTGTTGGGTTAACAAGAACACTATTTAATATTTATTTTTATTTTAAATCTTGAAAGCATTACTTGAATTCTCTCCTTGCTCACCTTAAGAGACCAAACTTCTTCCTCTTGTATGGCAGAAACAGGCTGTTTCTTAAGCAATGGATTATCTTCACAGTAAAGTTCCATTAGCATCAGCTCCTCCATCTATTTGAATAAAATAATGTAATTACATCAGAAAAGATAAACATCTCAAATGCCATTTTTATTTAAACAAGGAAAACAAATGTAACAAATATGAAAGCAGGAGATATACTCATCTGACTGTGTGCAAAATAACACTGGTGGGAAAACATACAAGATTTAAGTACAGTACATATTCTATTATTATTGCTAATAAATAGTATAACCATGTGAATCAAAGACCTGTTTGTTCTACAAGAGACAGCTTATGACTAGAGTATTATTTAAGTCACATTATAGTTACAAAATCTCTGCATTAACATCTAACACAGAGAAAATTATTAAAATAATTATTTAAAAAACTGTCCTCTGTTGTTAAATAGGAATAATTTTATCCATATACATGTAATCCTGACACTCCTGTATTCAACTTAAGTACCCAAATGGAATATCCTCTCATGGTAAAGAGGGAAGTAGTGAGAGGCCCTTAGCTTTGAATGTAACTGACATGTCACGAATAGTGAAAATATGCTCACTCTGTAACAAAATTACTCCCTGTTAAATAGAAAGAGCTGTATAAAATTTCTCTAAGCAAAAGTTTGCTGTTGTAATGATAATTGTTTGGTCTCTGATCTTTATAAGGCAATGATTTATACAGCTGTTAAGTTTAAAAATGAAATAAGCCTGGACAAGTCACTCCCATATATATTATGCTGAAGTGATCTAGGAGTCTAAGAAAGCCTAAGTGGAATAATAGGCTTAAACCAACATGGAAACCCTAAGAGTTTGTCTAGACTACAGGGTTTTTCCGAAAAAAGTGGCCTCTTTTTGAAAAAACTTCCCCTGGGTCTAGTCTGCCGCCACATTCTTTTGAAATTAAATCAAAAAAATGTGGATGTTTTGTTAACCACGGTAAACCTAATTTTACAAGAAATAACGTCTTTTTTTCAAAAGTGCTCTTTCGAAAAAAGGCATTCTTGAATGCAAACAGGTTTTTTCGAAAGAGAGCATTCAAACTACCTGGATGCTCTCTTTTGAAAAAGTGGCTTGCTTTTTTGAAAGAAGTGGTTGCAGTCTAGACGCTCTCTTTCGAAAGAGACTTGTAGTCTAGACGTAGCCTAAGTTCAATGTTCACTTGTTTTACATTATGCCTAACTAATTCTTGGTTCTGAAATATACCATGCTCTGGAAAAATGCATAGAAGATAACAAAAGCATTAAATATTATTAATATTATATATTTGCTCTTGTCTCTAATTCATTTTGCCCAATAAAACAGAAAAACAGGTAAACAAATACTTTTCTGGAATCATAGCTGGAACGTACTAAGTACACTTGAATAATGTACATAACAATCTGTTCCCTCAGTTAATAGCTTCGAGGACAATTTCACAGCATTACTTGTCATTTTAGTAATACTGGTATGGAAAAAAACTAAGCAGATGGAAACCCACAGAATCTGGCAACCCTGCATGGGCTACAAAACATCTCACAGGCCACACATAGAAGTCCAGTGGGCTGCAGGTTGTCCACCACTGTGGTAGAAGTTAAAGCTCAGTACGTAGCCTGCATGTAAGTAACCAAGAATCATATAATGGCAACCTGGGAAGCTGATCCTTTATAGAGTCATAGATTTTAAGGCCAGAAGGAACCTTTACAATCATTTAGCCTGAACCCTTAAACTGCATTCCCAGGCTGCTATCACGTAACCCAGCGTTTCTTAAACGGTGTTCCATGGCACACCGGTTTGCTGCAAGGCAGTCAGAGGTGTGCCACGGAGAACAATAGAATTCAAAATGGCCGCCCTTAAATGGGCAGGTGACTCTCTTTTGGCTCAATAATTTTCCCCTAGCGCTTTCTTTCTCCATAACTTTACCACCACCTTTTTTTCCCCCCCTCAACAAAAAAAATCTTTGGTGTTCCCCATAAAAACAAATTATTGTTTAGTGTTCCTCAGTCTTAAAAAGCTAAGAAACACTGAAGTAACCCTTGGCAGGGCAGAATTTTGTTTTATAGCAATACAAAAATGTAAATGGAATATTGATTAATAAATACCCACTTTCTTCTGGTCTCCCTTCAATGTTTCCACCACCATCTCTCCTACATTCTTAAGCATAATGGCCATGATCAGCTATGATCAAACAATCTTATAAGCCAGTGGTCCCCAACGTGGTGCCCACGGGCGCCATGGCGCCCGCCGGGACATTTATGTGCACCTGCCGAGTGATCAGGCCCGGCCGAAGCCATTCATATGCCCCGGGCGTGCAGCGCACATGCGGCTCCTGCCCCAGACACGGCGCATGAGCGGCCCTGCTCCCAGATGCCCGGCAGCCCCAGAAACTTGGGGACCACTGCTATAGGCAAAGGAAAATATGTCCAAACTATGCAGCTCATGAAGGAATAACCTGAACAGAAATTCAAAAACTGTTGAGCATTGTTGGGTTAACAAGAACACTATTTAATATTTATTTTTATTTTAAATCTTGAAAGCATTACTTGAATTCTCTCCTTGCTCACCTTAAGAGACCAAACTTCTTCCTCTTGTATGGCAGAAACAGGCTGTTTCTTAAGCAATGGATTATCTTCACAGTAAAGTTCCATTAGCATCAGCTCCTCCATCTATTTGAATAAAATAATGTAATTACATCAGAAAAGATAAACATCTCAAATGCCATTTTTATTTAAACAAGGAAAACAAATGTAACAAATATGAAAGCAGGAGATATACTCATCTGACTGTGTGCAAAATAACACTGGTGGGAAAACATACAAGATTTAAGTACAGTACATATTCTATTATTATTGCTAATAAATAGTATAACCATGTGAATCAAAGACCTGTTTGTTCTACAAGAGACAGCTTATGACTAGAGTATTATTTAAGTCACATTATAGTTACAAAATCTCTGCATTAACATCTAACACAGAGAAAATTATTAAAATAATTATTTAAAAAACTGTCCTCTGTTGTTAAATAGGAATAATTTTATCCATATACATGTAATCCTGACACTCCTGTATTCAACTTAAGTACCCAAATGGAATATCCTCTCATGGTAAAGAGGGAAGTAGTGAGAGGCCCTTAGCTTTGAATGTAACTGACATGTCACGAATAGTGAAAATATGCTCACTCTGTAACAAAATTACTCCCTGTTAAATAGAAAGAGCTGTATAAAATTTCTCTAAGCAAAAGTTTGCTGTTGTAATGATAATTGTTTGGTCTCTGATCTTTATAAGGCAATGATTTATACAGCTGTTAAGTTTAAAAATGAAATAAGCCTGGACAAGTCACTCCCATATATATTATGCTGAAGTGATCTAGGAGTCTAAGAAAGCCTAAGTGGAATAATAGGCTTAAACCAACATGGAAACCCTAAGAGTTTGTCTAGACTACAGGGTTTTTCCGAAAAAAGTGGCCTCTTTTTGAAAAAACTTCCCCTGGGTCTAGTCTGCCGCCACATTCTTTTGAAATTAAATCAAAAAAATGTGGATGTTTTGTTAACCACGGTAAACCTAATTTTACAAGAAATAACGTCTTTTTTTCAAAAGTGCTCTTTCGAAAAAAGGCATTCTTGAATGCAAACAGGTTTTTTCGAAAGAGAGCATTCAAACTACCTGGATGCTCTCTTTTGAAAAAGTGGCTTGCTTTTTTGAAAGAAGTGGTTGCAGTCTAGACGCTCTCTTTCGAAAGAGACTTGTAGTCTAGACGTAGCCTAAGTTCAATGTTCACTTGTTTTACATTATGCCTAACTAATTCTTGGTTCTGAAATATACCATGCTCTGGAAAAATGCATAGACGATAACAAAAGCATTAAATATTATTAATATTATATATTTGCTCTTGTCTCTAATTCATTTTGCCCAATAAAACAGAAAAACAGGTAAACAAATACTTTTCTGGAATCATAGCTGGAACGTACTAAGTACACTTGAATAATGTACATAACAATCTGTTCCCTCAGTTAATAGCTTCGAGGACAATTTCACAGCATTATCTGAAAGAATTATAAAATCAGTGGTAGGGATGTAAAATCCCATTAAATTAATTAACAGGTTAGACATTAAGTTTTATTAGTTAACTTATTAGACGTCCTGGGTGGGAGGAGGTCTGCTCCAGTTCCCGTCAGTTAACCTTAACCAGTAAGCATCACCCAATATTTAAAGATTCTATCACTAGATTCTTCTCATTTTAAAAAAATGGAAAGAGGACTAAGAGGAAGAAAAATAAGATTATATAAAATTCTACACACCAATGACCTAACTAGATATCTTATCCACAAAAACTTATGCCCTAATAAATCTGTCTCTCAGGTGCAATGGGTCTCCTTATATTAATAGAAACAACAGTCATGCTGCTACATTTCTGCCTCCCAGGAAGAGATCAAGTAAATATCAACAGTAACTTTAACAACTTGTGCCTCAAGCAAATTGCACGCTGGAACAGACACGCTGCCTGGGCTTTCCAGGAAGATACTTGTATCCCCTGGCAAGTTTTTTTTATATTTTTTCTGCATGGCAGGGAGGCCATGTGAATTATGTGCCCTCTCAGGTGCTCAGAATCCTCCCCAGGAGTAATAATATAAAGTATAGGCATTGAAGAAGTTTTCCTCAATTGTTTGGGACAATCTGTATATATCCCAGAACAAAGGAGGCATACTAAAAATTCAGCCACCTAAAGTGGTACACAAATGGTTTAGGTATTTCATGAAAATCAATAATCATTGCCAGGGAAACTTTGGAAGAAATTTCCTATAAACCAGAAGAACTGAGTTCTATTCCAGTGACTATTAAACAAAAAACCAGAGAAGAGTAATTATGAAAACATGAAAATATTATGAAAATACTAGATTTTGAACAATATACCCTTTTGGGTTTATCTTTCTATAAAGAAAAGAATTAGAAAAGTTGAAGTACGGAATGTTACAAACATTCTATATTATAAACACTACATACACTGGCATGAGAATTATGACTCACTAAGTAAACCTCAATTACAGAGGAAAGTTAAACAATCTTTCTTCTTGGCAAAAATTATTTTAGTGGGCTTTTGTAGCCAAATAAATGTATAGGCGAGAAAAGGGTCAACATTTCATATACTGGAAGGGAAGGGAGAGACACTTTCTACAATTTTGTTTTCTTACATAGGAGGCCGTCTGGTTTCTCTTCAGCTATAGCAGCAGTGAGCAATAATTGTTGATGGGGGGCCTCTCCAAGATTATGGTAAGTGGTCAAGGACTGCACTTTTCTATGGCGAGGGTGTGGGGCCTGGAGCAGAGGTTAGGTGCAGAAGGGAGCTTGGGGTAGGAGTTTGGGAAGCATGAGAGGGAGTGGGGTCTGAGAGGATTGTGACCTGGGGCAGGGAGTTGGGAGTATAGAAGGGGTTGGGGTACCAGAGGCAGGCTCTGGCTGAGAGTGGTTTTCCTTAGGCAGCTCCCAGTCAGCAGCCCAACAGGGATTTGAGACAGGCTCCCTGCATGCTGGCTGGCTAATGGTAAAGGTGATGATAGGGCTGGGGACGGGAGCAGCGTAGTGCCTAGAGCCATGGTGTCCAACACACTAGCCACATATGGCTATCTGGCTGGTTGAGTGTGGCTAGTTGGCTTGAGCAATGTGGCTATTTGGTTGGTTGAGTGTGGCTAGTTTGCTACAGCAGTAGCTACTATAGTGGCTACTGCTTCAGAACTAGTTGGACACCATGAGCCTAGAAGGAGCCACCAGCCCTTTTGAACATTGTTGGGCTGCAAGCCAGCAAAGAGCCTGCCTCAGGGTCTTAAGGGGGTGGACTGTGGGCCAGATCAAAAGGTGTGGCAGCCCCATGGGACTTCACAGAAAACAGACTTGTCTCTTGCATTGTATTATGATATAGAGATGGACTGAACATGGGTAACAAGAAAAGGGGAAGATTTTCCCCAAATGTGCTGTATTCATCAACATTTCATTCACTGGACACTATTTTACAAATTTTCCATTTGCTCCGTTAATATTTATAACTAAAGCAAAGCAAAGCTTTTCTACTACCTTATTTTGAGGAATTGGAATTAAAATGCCAGAACCCAGATGTCATCAAGACTGATCTCACATCAGGTGACTTAATCAGAATCCCTCTTGAATTACAAGGATAGAACTCTGACAAGCACACTAAAATAGCTCTGTCTTTCTTGGCAATTTTAAAGCCATTCAAATTTAAATTTGGCATGAGGAAAAAAAGAACAGTTCATACATACCTGGGTGGTTGGTGAACCCACCCCTTTCCCAGCCCAAGCCCCAGCCCAGACCCCACCCCCTTTTCACTGTCTCCCTCTTCTCTTCTCTGTGCATCCTGTGTCCCTGCTCAATGCATGCTTGGCCCCTTCCAGTCAAATCCCTGAACCCAAGCAAATTATTTTTAAAAAACCCTCCACTTTTCTGCAATTTCTCTCTCAACAAAATACAGCGTGCTTTGTACCATATATCAGACATGCAGAAGGTACCTAATTAAAATCACTAAATTTGGGAATAAGAAATGTCAGTCATGGGTTTATTATATATACCCTCATAGATGACATGCAGGAGGCTTGCAAACACCCAGAACCCCTCTCATTGATCCTGGGGAACACAGAATGGCAAGCACCAATTAAAAATAACTGGGAAATCTCTGTCCTTTCTTCACACCATCAAGCAAGGTGTCAGGTCTCGCCCTCAGCCACCCTGGACCCTGCCTGAACCATATTAACATTTCACAGAAATCCCATGGACGAGGAGAGGAGGGGAGGACAGGCCCAATACAGGTTGAGCATTGGGTAGGCAGAGTTTCCCTTTGTCCTACAAAGTATCTGAGGGATAGTCATGTTAGTCTGTCTGGGCAAAACCAACGAGAAGTCCTGTGGCACCTCATAGACTAACAGATTTATTTGGAGCATAAGCTTTTGAGGGCAAAGACGCACTTCATCAGATGCATGTGACAAAGTGGGTCTCTGCCCACGAAAGCTTATGCTCCAATAAATCTGTTCATATATATGATGCCATAGGACTTCTTTTACAAACTATACACCCGTGCATCTGTACAGCTATTAAAATAAACCTAGATACTCTGTATCATGCCCCCATGCTTTCTGAAAAATGGATATGTATATTCTATTTTTGTGCATGTTTTATTCTTATATGTGAAGTTAGAAAACATATGAAGTGTGACTCTGGTTTTAATTCCAAATGTGTTGACGACGGCCGTTAAGGATACTTAGGAACATAATGGCTCAGTACTCAAACCAACAACCTGCGAATAATCTTGTTTGTCCTGTAAGCCCAAATTGTGACTAGTCCTAGAACGATTAGTGACCATGCTACCTGGTACTAGAATCCATCTTGCAGGTGATATTTTATCATGGGGATGAGGAATGCTAAACAAAGGGTTCTAGCTCTGGGAGGGATGTCTATTTAAACTTAAAGAATGGAAAGCAATCAGTTTTTGTCTTCAGCTGGTCTTTGAAACTACCTCACCCACCCTCAGAGGATACACATGGAGAAAGCTGACAACAACAAAAATCTGAAAAAGCTGTAGACACAGGCCAGAGTTAAGATCAACTCTGACTTGAAATATATTAGCTGAGGTAAGATCAACTATTTAGGGTAAGAATTGGCATGTAACAAATTTCTTAGTATATTAGAATTAGCTGGTGCGGTTTTTTTGGTTTATTTTAACTTAATCAGTTACTTTGAACTGACTGTTTTCACTTGTGACCACGTAAGTCCTATATTTTATACAAGAGCAATACTTGTTATGGCTAGGAGGGCTATATCTGTTGCAGAAGTAACTTAAATAATTCTTCCCTGGGGGGGAGCAACCACTGTGCATATCTCTTTCATTGTTAAAGAGGGCTGACCTTAGGAATTTTCTCATGTAAGATGGATTTATATCGAGTTTTGGTCCTCTTTGGGTTCTGTGTTCTTGGATGCTGAGCCCTTTAGCTGAGCCCTCCCAAAGCTGAATTGGTTCAGTGTGAATTGTTGAGCCCTTCAGCAATTCACTGAATTGCTCTGCTGGTGGGTGGTTACCCTCAACTCTGTGCCTTGACAGGAGCAGACCAGAGCTTATGGCCCAGGAGGACAGAAAGGCAAGCATCAATGGCTTGATCAGCACACCAGGGGACAACCCCATCTGTGAGCCAACCCATCACACACTGACCATATATGCTCCCAAAGTGCCTAGCAAACCTTCATGACTCGAGTTATATAAAGCCTCACATCTTCAATGGTTCCTACTATGGTCTTATTGTTTCCTTGGACACAGCTCTTCTCAATTCTTTTTGAAAATATAGCCACAGTGGTTAAAGAACTTTGTAAAAGAGTTCTAAAACCTTGTCATAAAATTACAAAATGGATATTATTAAACAAAATAATGTTTATACACTAAAGATTTCTGCCTATATATACTACTTTCGTTAAAAGAAAACAAAAAGGCCTTGATATATTCCAGAGTAATAAGATTAATTTTGCTGACAATGTTTACACTAAAGCTCTATCAGAATTCCTTGTTCAGTTACATAGATTGTGCCCATGTAAGGGAGGGAGAGCCATTCTTGTTATGGCTAGGAGGCCTAACATTGTTGCAGAAGTAATTTAGTGTTTAAATACTTTAGTCTGAACCTCCCACCTCCGAACCTTCCACACCTAGTTCTCTCCTATTAAAAAAGTCTTTGCATCTACTCACCAAAACTAAATCTGTTCAGACTCTTACTAATTAAACTTAATTTTCAGTAAACGTTTTACCTTAAAATAATTTTCCATTGAAGAGGATCACATTTACATTTTGAATCAACAACCCTCTGAACCCTTATTTTACTCCATTCTCTCCCTCCATTTGCTCCATCCTTGTTTTCTCAGAAGTTCTTAGCCAAACTTCAACTCTGGTGACTCAAGACTCCAGAAACAGCAAAATGTACAGCAGTCCTGAAAATTACCTGAGAGTTGTGGGTAAATATACTGTAGTAGCTGAATGATTCTTGCAGCAGCGGAATCAGATAGAGCAGTGATTTTTCAAAGTACAGATCACAACCTAGTACCCAGCACTAGTTCCTGGAAAGTCAGGCACTGGGTAACCTTCCTGTGGTGACCAAGTAACCAATGATGGCATTCTAAGGCCAGCTTCCTACCTGTCCTGGCACTGCAGACCACACTATGTCCTGGAGTGGCCAGCAGCAGGTCCGGCTCATAGGTGGAGGCAAGTAGCTAACTCTCACAAGATAAAAAGGCAAAACAAGCCAAAAAATGAAGTCAATCCCATTTCAAAACAAGCCCAAAACGAGCTCCACCCATTTTTGTTTGGCAATGCCTGGTGACAAACCAGGAGCTGGCCAATGGGTGTGTGGAGCCAGAGCTTGGGGCAGAGGCAGCCTGTGGAGCTGGAGATGCTGCTAGCTACTTCCAGGATTCAGTGCAGTCCACTGTGCCAGGACAGGCAGGAATTCTGCCTTACCATCCCACTGCATCACTGACCATGAGCTGCTGGAGCTAGGCCTGTGACCCAACAATCCCGTGTCCCAGCCTTGAGCCCCTCAAAACCCAAAACCCCTCCAAACCCCAAACTCCTCTTGCACCCTTCATCTCTGGTCCCATATCATAGCATGTACCCCTGTACCCTATACATTATAGTGATGCAAATTAGAGTTTTGTACAGTCTGAGGAAAGCATCCAGAGTGAACATGTATATGCTTACATAAAGCACCACCTAGTTACAAAATGTGAACTACTAAATAAATCTACTACACTCTCAAACAAAATTATTCTACAATCACAGTAGGGCCCATATTTATTATAGTCTCCCATTCTTTTTTTCTCCTTCACCTTTGCATTGGATTTTTGGAAAAATGTGAAATTATTTTTTACCTCGGTTGCAAAACTAGTAGTGCTTATTCAATATATGAGGAGGTCTTCCTTCATGAATACAGAGTAATTTATGTTAAGAGTTTGCAGCATTAATACTGCAGACCCAAAATTAATCAATTCAAATTATCTTGTTTATCCTATATAAAATACTGACCATTCCTGATGTTTTGCAACTATACCTGGCTGTAAATGAGTCCTCTGATAATCATCTAAGGGCACTACTAAATTACCTTGGGGTCTCTGAGCAGAATAAAGTAATTTAGTAGTGCCGTCGGGTGTTACTGCTATTAATGCATCTACACACAATTTAAAAAACACTATCAAATGTATGGGGTTGGGAGTTTTTTTGGTTTTATTTTTTGCAAAAGTTCCTTATTTCCATTAACTTCAATATAACATAGAAACGCTCAGTAGACAATGCAGAAAATTTTACAACTAGTGGGAAGGTAATGTTCTCCAATACCCTCTGTAAAACAGATCACCAATTACAAATAATGTATGTTAGAGTATGTCTACACTTGCACCCTCTTTTGATAGAGGGATGCAAATGAAGGCATTCGAAATAGCAAATGAAGCCAGGACTTAAATATCCTGTGCTTCATTTGCATATTCGCTTTATGGCGCTTTTTCAAAATAGTGCTATTTCGAAATAATAGACGCTGTTAAGAAATGGTTATTTCGAGAGAAAACCCTTCTCTCAAAATAACTGGTAAACCTCATTGTATAAGGAATCCCTCTCTCGAATCCCTCATTTGCATCCCTCTCTTGAAAGAGGGTGCAAGTGTGGACATACCCTTACAGACACAGCAATAACAATATAAAGCAACTTAGAAAAATTGAGTAGCTGAAACCAAAGCCCCCACAATCTCATTAGTGCCAGAAGAATCAGAAGCCAAACTACTGAAGAGCATGACTCAAAAAGGCCACAAAAACCACACATATACAGATTCTTACACCAAAACTATTGCAATGTAGCAAAAGGAGCATATGTACTGTTTAGTGGTATATGAAATTATTTCATTCTCAGAGTACAAAGGACATACACAAAAAATACAAATTCCAGGCTACAAATCCTACCATGAGAGATTTGGACTTTCCTGCATCTTTTTAGTAACAGATTAATCTTTATATCCCTTTCCAAGTGTGAAACTAAATACACCCAACAATTCAAATCAAAACACCATAGTCATGATCATATGTAAAATTTCTCCTGACATAATACTGTGCAGACTATTACAAACTGTGATGAAATATTTAATCATATTTTGACAACTAAAACTTTTTAGCAACTGGAAGGTCCCAAGCACATTTCTATTATTTGAAACTCCTGTCTCCTTGATTAAGCAATATTAAAATTAAATTAATGTTACTCCATGGAATCTTTAAAACAGCTACTATGTTTTACTTATCTTTATTAGATCCAATTGGACTTTATTCAGTTTATATGCAACTACATATTTTTTTCTTTTCACTCAGTTTGTGGTGAAACTCACAGTATCAATCCCTTCAAGTTACCCAGACTTTCCATATAATTCGTTCAACAGATCTGACGCAGAAATGTTATATTAAAGAATAAGATACAGAAAATAATACTTACTGCTATTGGAAAAATCTGAATTTTGTTCCCTGCAACATCTAGAATTCTTAATTTTCTCAATCTGCAAAGCCCCTTGATGAAGGAGGAGAAAAGCATAATAAAAACAAAAATAGAACAACAATGAATGTGAACCTAAAATTCCCATAAGAGGAGAAAGCAGTGTCAGACATCAGGAAGCAATAGGACTGGCAAAGAAAGATTGAGTTGCCTGGTAAAAACGGAAATGGGAGGAAAATTTAAAATGATTTATTTCAGGGAAGAATATGTCCATTCTTTCGGTATTATAAAAATGCCTGTCTTTATCATTCAAAATTCCCATGGATCTTTTATCCCCACTCCACCCACGTCCTCCCTCAAACCTCATTCTGAATTATTTACAATGCCAATATCATCGCCACATAAAGGCTTTTCCTGTTTACCACACAGGGAGCCTGAACAGCCTTCAAATCCTCATTTCTCAGGCTCCTTTCTCCAATTAAAAAAAATTAAATAGAGCTCCTTGACTTTCAAAATCACTGTTAGTTCCCAGCCCTCAACATCTAACTAAATTGTCATTTCTTAAGATAATTGCTTGAATCTGTTGAAACATAGGATGGGAACAAATACACATGATTTTTGTTTACGTTGTTATTTTTAAGTATTTTCAGTATCAACTTAAGCAGTAGCTGAAAATAGCTGCCAAGAAACAATGGTATTAACAACTATCTTTTAACATTTTCTTTTGTGGCAGCCATCTTCAATTCATTTTATTGATTGTCTTGTACAGATAAAAGTGAATACAGAAACGCAAGACAAACACTGAGCAATGCACATACAATTCTCGTGTTCTCTGTAACAAGACAAAGCAAATTCCATCAGATAACCAGCTTTAAATGTTCAAAACCTTATTTCCTCCTCCTTGATGCACATACCACACTGCTGCACTCCACCTGCCCAGGAGTACTGCTGGGGCCGAGCAGCACAGCTGCCTTCTCATGCAGGACTGACATCCCGCCCTCCCCCTCCACCCAAGAACCACTGGGCTACCCACCGTGGCCATGCCTGGCCAGCCCATACCCCCGGCATTGGGTCCAGGGAGCATCGTTAGAAGCCCTCTGCCTCCCCTTCCCCAATCCTGGGCAACGCTGAGTAAATCTTCTAGTATACAATATTCCTGTGGAACTTAAGATGAAGATCACTCACTTACTGACATACATAATACAGCAATTTGTAATTAAAGGCCAGGCAAAAAAATACATATTTATTTTGATTATTTTAAACTGACAGATATCCTTTATCTTTTTGTCAAGCTTCATGACAAATGAAAACTAAGCACATTAAGTACATTATATCTCAATGTAAGGGTAGAATTCCATTATATAAAGACATGTTATTCACATGTTGTCTTAAGATATCCATACAACATTACTCACATCAGGGAGAACTCCTATTTGGTTTCTTGACAAGCATAGAATTCTGAGATTCGTCATGTATCTAATCTCTTCAGGTACTGTGATGAGACAATTGTGGGACAGATGGAGTTCAGAAAGCTTTTGCAAGGAACATAGCTCTTTGGGAATACTTTCTAGCTGATTATTATTTAAATTTATGTTTTCAAGATTTTCTAACCTGTAAAATTAATAAAGAATTGTAATGATCAGCCAGGGTATGTTGTCCACAATAAATAGCAATTTATTTAAACTTTTACTGGGAATTTTCAGTACATAAGTGTTCCCTCTTAGTTTCACAGGTGATCAATCAGCTCCACCCAGACAGTCAGCTCTATGCATGGAGCCCTGAGCCTCTAACTGGACAGGGCTGATTAATCACCAGTGAAGCTGTTCCACCTCCCAGCTTAGAGGGGACCCTGCTGTACACGAGCTACTTCTATTTTTTTAATTATATACTTTTATACTGAACTTTTATATAAATGGAACTCTATGCTGGATAACTTAAGGACTAACTCTAGTGGATAACTGATAAGGGTTTTTATACAATCACAGAATCACCAGCATCACCTCCTCCCATCCCACCAGGCCCTGCACAACCCACCCTGCTTCTAGGGAAGGGGGCGGAAGGTGCCAGCCGCTTGCACACCACAAGAGCCCACTCTGCCAAGCCCCATGCAGCCCGACCTGCTGCCTGCCCCGTGAGACCAACTAAGGGATGTGACACTCTTACCATGGGGGCGTGGCTCCTCCATGTGTAGCTCAGCAGCTTGCATTGAGTGGAGAGAGAGGGAGTTTGCTTTTACCAGCCAGTGCTGGTACTGCAGCCTTGCAGCTGCGCACCAACCGTGAGGATGCAGTGGTGGCACAGGCTCCCTATTGCATGGGTGAAGAGGGATGGGTGGTGAGTTCCCACCACTGACCACATGAGAGATGGCTGCAGACTGCTAGTTGTCCAGAGACTGCACTTTGAGAACCACTGATCTACAGGCATCACTCCCATGGCTCCCAGTTCTCTGTTCCCAGCCGATGGAAGCAGTAGGAAATGGCACCTGCAGACAAAGGGGCGACAGAGATGTGCTGGCCATTGCTTCCCATAGCTCTCATGGGCTGAGAACAGAGATGCTGCAGGGGGCAGTGCCTGCAGATGGTCAATGTCAGCAAAATGTCTCGCAGCCTGCAATCATGTTACTCTGATAAGCCGCATGTCACCAAGAGGCGGCAGGTTGCCCACCACTAATCTATCCCATAAGTAAAGAATTTCAGTTTCGGGTACTGTCAATCTGGCATCACACTCAAAATAAACTTTTTTAAAGGAATAAAACACATTTTCTCAGCTCTACATTGAATGGGATGCTGAAACACTCAACTGTTGTGTTGACTTTGGCACTATTAGAACTGCAGTACAAAACAAGTTCAATGGAATAGTATACACAAGTGCTGCAGAGAAAGTCATTTACAAGCAATTACAATGAAAGAATTAAAAAAATATTAAGACATAATCAATGACAATTATATTCAAGTATGCTGAGTAAGATATCTAGTTAAGTCATTTGTGTGTAGAACTTCACATAACCTGAACTTATTTTTCTTCCTCTTACCCTCTTTCCAATTATTTTTTTAAAAACAGTCTGCCACTAGATTCTTCCCATTTAAAGTATATAACATGGAGCATATGACTTCTGAAGGAACAAAAATAATGAATTACAAACTACATGTGTGGGTTAGAAAAAGCAAACAAAGAAACTGGGGATAGGAAAATCAGATATGAATATCAGAATGAAATCATAATTGTTTTAAATTTATTTGCTGCTTTTCTGCTGAAATGGTTCTTAATATTTTTCAATGTGAAAACATTGAGTCAAATTCATAGAGCTCTGCAAAGATACAAAATCTGTATCCATATCCACATCCATATCACAAAAATGAGCTGTGAATAGCTGCATCCACATCTGTGAATGCGGATATAAAGCAGATATCCACAAATTTACAGGGTTGTAGAAATAAAATTGGTATCCCACATCTGTATATGCAAAAAATGAGCGAACGATATCCACATCTATCTCCACAGATATACAGCAGATAGCTGTGGATTTGCAAGGTTCTACAAATTCAACACTGAAATCAATGGCATTACAGGAATGAATATGGCCCTGTAGGTCTAAAACCTGGTGTGTTTTAATAGGACAAGAATATTTGGGTAGCTGAAATGTTAGTAAAATGTGTACTCTTCATTCCAACTTACTATCATTCTTGTTGAAAATATTGAACATTTTCTTTTTCACAATTGAGTAATAGCATCAAAACTGGAATAACTTCTATTCCAAATTCATTGGAAAAAATTTGTCCCATTATGGTGGGATACATTTTTTCCAATGAATTTGGAATAGAAGTTATTCCAATCACAATATATTCACCCAACTACAACATAGACAAGGTGAACTTCTTGGTCAGAAAAACTTGACTCATTAGAATTCATCCTCCCCATTAGTTACAAGATTAACCTTTTGCCTCCAAAAGACATACAGGCAGTCCCCGGGTTACGTACAAGATAGGGACTGTAGGTTTGTTCTTAAGTTGAATCTGTATGTAAGTCGGAACTGGCGTCCAGATTCAGCCGCTGCTGAAACTGACCTCCAGCTCTGACTTACATACAGATTCAACTTAAGAACCCCAAGCTTCCCCAAGTCAGCTGCTGCTGAAACTGATCAGCGCTGATTCCAGGAAGCCTGGGGCAGAGCAACTCT